TAGAACCAGAAAGAAGTAAGATGAGCTAATTAATGAAGCAGGAATAGCAGAAACTGTGGAGAAACTGGACAATAGAGAATCTTTCTGTAGCTTGCATGGTACTGCTGTCTATTTTGATCTAAAATAATCTGAATTTTCAGAAAAAAAAGGCTTTTATATTGCAAACCTTAAAACTAATTTAAGACTAATTTGAACACAATGCACGCTCAGATCAAATCTGAGATATCACTCACTATATTGTAACTCTCCTCTATAAATTTTGTATTTTTAAGGGAAATAATGGCACAAAACACTACAAAAATATTTCTATTGTATGAAACAGTAATTTCTAAGTGTGATAAACATTCAAAACAGTTCATGTTAGTTTTTAATTTCTTAGAAATTTAATCATTTTAACTGCTGCATAACAATTGTATATATTTATGAGAAACCATGGGACATTTTGATACAAATAAACATTGTTTCCTTCTCAAATCAGTATAAGATATCTCCTCAGACATTCCTTTATAATTTCTTTCTGATGACAACATTCAAATTTCTTTTCTCTAGGTTTTGTAAAAAACATAAGCATACACTGTTTATACCCCTTTCATTGCACTTAGCATAGCCCCCAATTCCATCCATATCCTCACAAGTGATTGGCTTTCATCCTGTTTTATGGTTGAATTACATTTATATTCAGGCAAGTTCTTTTCTCTGCCTAGACTACTCTTTGTGTTATGCAGCTGGAGCTTTATTTACAGCATTTTTGCATGGCATGACGGAATCCAGCGTACAGCCACTCTATTTCATGTCAATGAGGTGCTCACTCAGGTAGCCACCATATTGCTGTCAGTGGATAATCACCTGTTCCATGTATAGGACTCAACAATTCACCATATTATATCAGTCAACTTCATTTCTTTTACACAGCAATGTAAGTTGAATGCATTCATTTTATTTTGAAAATATTGCGAAAATGAAGTACAGAAAATGAACTAATTTGCCTAATGTCACACCTAATGTAATGTAGAATTACATGCTATGTTCTGTCAAAATTATGATCGTTGTGGCATGCTATTTCTTTGCAGTTTAATCTTATCTTCCCCCTCAAAATCCAGAATGTCCTTGAATATCTAAGCTGTTTTCATTCATAATTGTGTGTTCAATATTTGAGATGCCTCTTAAAAAAAGAATAGATATTTTTTCTCCATCAACTCATCCATCTAGTCACTCATTCACTTAGTTATTCAACACTTATGGTGTCCTGAGGATGCTGATTTCAGAGTAGTAAAGACTCAATTTGTAGTTCCCACCACAGCAGGTGGTGTAGTGAGTCACGATGGTAAGAGACAAACATCTGTAGGTTGCAGATGTTTACAGCATTATACAGGCTATGAGCTGCCTGGCCTGGGAGCCACATGGACTGAGTTTGGATGTCAACACAGTCCTTCATGAATTGTATAATTAGAGGCAAGAGACATCAGTTATACAAGCCTCAGTTCCCTTATCTGTAATGCTAGTTACCTGCCTTACTGCCTGTTTTGGGTGCTAAGTAAATACATGTAAATGAGATCATTGGTATCTAAATCACTAAGCACTATTTAGCACAAGGATGAACTCCATGTGTCTATTTGGCTAGGTTGTGATGGCCAGTACTTTGGTCAACACAGTTATAAATATATTTTCAGGTGTGATTAACATGTAAGTCAATAGATTTTGAGTAAAATAGATTAGTCCCTATAACGTGGTGTGTATCATTCAATCAGACAAAGACATATTTCCCAAAATAGAAAGAAACCACCTCAAAACCACAGGATTTCATAGGCAAGGTTACAAGACCAACTCTTAGACAAGTCCCAAGTCCTCCAGTCTACAGCAATGCTTTTTATCAGTTCCCTGGTGGAAGCTCCATGATGGCATGATGCAGAACACACATGGAGTCTCTTCCTGCTCCTGGTTCTTGGAAGAACTCTTGCTATTACTGGTAGCATAACATTAAGACTATTAACAGTAAAATACCATTGCCAATTTGACTCAATGATCAATAGAATCGGTGATTAATGATTAAAAATGATTAAAAAGATAAGCTTTGCCAAACATACAATCAAGAGGATAAAGCAAAATGTCCACCACCATAATCCAGAGTAGACTATAATGACTGAAAATAGCAAATTTTATTGCTGAAATACCCCCTCTGCCAGTCCCATTTTTCTGAAGAGCTCTTCTAGCCTGCATATTGGCAGGAGATCCTAAGATGGAAGTTACTTGATGCTTGATAATGAAAATACCAACCCAAGATTTTCTTTTTTCTTCGCTCTGTTGACTATTTGAAGCGTGACACCAAGAGTCATTTGGCATCACATTGCCATTCCCCCATTCTTCTCCTGGTCTTGACTCCATCTCCTTTTCAGAAAGTCTTCCATGGTTTAGCCCTTTAATGAAGTTCTAGGAGTACAGAACTGGAAGTGGAAAACTGTGTAGAACCTAGAAAGGAAGCCTTGAGAGGCAGTAGTTGTGGTTCAAATACTTGGATTCTTGCCAGCCACTGGTGAGATCTGAATTCCTAGCTTCCAGATTCTGACTCAGGCCAGCCCTAACCATGGCAGGCCTTTTGGGAGTGAACCGGCGAACAGGAACCCTCTGTCCTGGTTTCTCTCTTTTCCCTCTCTCTCTTTTTGCCACTCAAAATGAACAAAGCTAGTAACAAGAATCTTGGGTTCAACAGCTACTAATGATACATGTGCTGAGCTCTGTCACCTGCTGTTGGAGTCATAAAGCTTCAGGCGTGGTTCCCCTTATGGTATTAACCTCCTTTGTTCTTCTTTTCTTTTCCTTTGAAAGAGAAACTGGGACATAAGTGAAGCAATTAGTTGAAGATTCGTAGATTTTCCCACTTAATACACCAGAATATTTGCACCATTTTCAGCCTTTCTAGAATCTTTATCACAGCGATGTCTTTATTGTTGCTGCTTCAGGCTGGGGTTTGTTTTCTCTCTGAGTTGCTGGATTTCTGCTGAGCCATTATCTCACCTGGACTTCATCCTGAGACTATGGACAGAAAATCAGACAGCAGAAGCATGCCAACAACGGACCTGGGTCCCAGAGAAGCCAAGAACACTCACCTGAGCCTGGTACACAAAGCTGTGGGCAGTGAAGTCATCTGCCTCACACAGACCTGGAGCACAAAAACAAAAACACGGGGCCCCGTTAACCACAGAATACATCCCTCTAATTCCCTGCCAACTGTAGGTTGATAGAACCAGGTCCTAATACACACTAAAAAGGCACTTGTGAAAGATTATTTACTGAACTCAAACACCACATTTGCAAAACAGTTTTAGTCCTTAAAACAAGACAGTTACAATCATGTGAATCATTTATTGTATGTGACACATATATGGTATATAATCTGGTTCTCTAGCTAGTTCAGATCAGGGGAGTAAAGTTACCTGTGGTTGCTATGTCTTCATAATTGCAGGCTCCCACAGAGTAGCCATCTAAACCTGGGAAGTAGGCATGACAGTCCGCCCAGATGCTGGAGCTGCCACAAGGACACAGCTTGCCCTGCTGCGTTTACATCAAGCCTTTGTGAGGTCTTAGATGACGACAGAAGGATGGTACTCGCTTATGTTTATCTTGCTTGCTCTAACTCGAGCACTTTCATTCTTGCCTGCTGTGTCCTCTAGTGCTAGCCTCTAGCCCCCAGGCAGTTAAGTCATTTAGCTTTAAATCTTCATAAACGGAATCTGGAGGCAGCCAAGCAGAGGGGAGGGCAGCAGGCAGAGGCTTCGTCACTCTAATTGCACTCCAAGCATTTTTACTATTCCTTCCTTCTCACTAAGTTACAGTTCTGATAACATGTATGAGCACATCCTGTTTTCTTCTTTGTATTTTTGCCTCCTAACAGCTTCCTTTTTCACTAAAACCATAAAAACTTCTCCTCCCACCACACTTTCACCACACACAAGAAACAGTTGGGAAAACATTTCAGTTGCTCCTAACCACAGCACCACTTCTAAGTAACTATGAAGAAGAAAGATTTTAGAGTCCCATAAGCGAAACCAAAGGCTCAACTAAGCCAAAACATGATGGGGTGGTCTGGACAGTGACTGTGAAAGACAAAGCAGAACCCAGATTTCCTCCATCCCAGCCCAGTCCTCATTGTGTTGCTCTAACGCACAAATCCTGAATAAGTGACATCAGAGGATCCATCCATTAATGCATTGCCTTGAATGTGACTGGGACACTGGCCAGGTCCCTCTGATAATGAACTGCTGCAGTAAGAAACACTTTCGTGGTGAAGAGATTGTGTGTGTGTGTGTGTGTGTGTGTGTGTGTGTGTGTGTGTGTGTGTGTGTTGTATATGTGTGTATTGAGTCACTTGCATTTTCAAAGGGACCATAACTGATGCTGGAATTCAGAGTACATTTCATGTAGCAGAAAGCAAAGCGAGGCAAAAACTGTGCTCATTACTAGCTGGATGTATTATTTTATGGAAAGCACGTTTTGTCTTCGGGTCTCAGTTTCCATAGAAGACTCTTATCTTGAAGATGGGAGCAGCAGAGGAGCGCAGTGGAGAGGGCAAGAAGCTGAACAAAGAAAAGCATATCTTTGTGTGGGTTAGAGGTAGCTAGAAATAACCTTTATAAGGTCTCGGGGCGGGGGAAAGGGAATTAAAAGGGAAACTAGAGAAAACAGAGAAACTGAAGCTCTTGAGAACTCCACCTAAGTTGCATTTTTACTCTTCGCTGCGTTTGGGGGGTAAGCGTAGAGTTAGTGAATGAACGGGCTGAGAAGCCTGCCAAGAGGGAAAGGACTATGGAAAGCAGCGGCTCAGACCCATGCTGGATGCCGCGACTCACCTGGTGAGACTTCAGGGGCGCCTGGGCCGGCTCAGACACCTGCGTGTCCTGGCGCGCCCGTGCGAGCCACCGTGAAACCGCTAGGGGGCACCGCGTGGCTTCGCCCGGACCGGCCCGAGCCTCTTTAAATCGCGGTGCCCGGCCGATCTTCAGTTTCAGTCCCTGACCCTAGGAGCAGCTGCAACTTCTCGCGTCGACCAGGACGTCGATCTGGACTCCTACCTAACGCTTCTCCAGCGGCGGCGCAGCAAGCAGAGCTGCATGCAGTAACTTCCTCGGCTTGGCCCGGCTACCTCTGGGAGATCCAAGTTAACACTCGCAAAGTCACCCGCCGTCTACACCTGCCAGCCCAGAGCCAGTGCGGGCGCCTGTGAGCAAGTCATGGCCAACGCCGGTCTGCAGCTGTTGGGCTTCATCCTGGCCTTCCTGGGCTGGATCGGCTCCATCGTCAGCACTGCCTTGCCCCAGTGGAAGATTTACTCCTATGCGGGTGACAGTATCGTGACCGCCCAGGCCATTTACGAGGGACTATGGATGTCCTGTGTGTCGCAGAGTACCGGGCAAATCCAGTGCAAAGTCTTCGACTCCTTGCTGAATCTCAACAGTGAGTGAACCCTCTCCCCTATATCCCCTCCCCGGTGCTCCCAACCCCCAGGTGCGGTCCATTCTGTTCTATCAGTCTTCAGGTGATCTCTCAAGCTTTCTGATTCCGAGCTTTGTCTTGAGAACAAAACCTCCTCTGCTTTGGGAAAAGGGCCACCCAACGCTTCAGTTTTGCCCCTGACACCCTGGGCAAAGCATTTCTCCCTCTTCTGGTAGGATTTTATCAAAAAGTCTCATGACAGCGGGTCGAAATTTGGATCTTGAACTTGATCCTATAATACTCTTCAGATGGTGTATGGTTCTGTGTAACTGACGGTTGATTGGTAAAGTTCAGATATGAAAAGCGAAGTCACAGAAACTCCTCAAATTCTCCGAAATTAACCAGATAATCCCAATATTTACATTAGAACTATTTTAAATAAATGTTTGCTATAGATTATAAAAACAGATTTCTCCCTCCAAAGGGGGACTGGGAAGAGAGCAAGAGCGAGACAGAGAGAGAATTTTCCATGTGTTGGGTCACTCAGCAGGGCTGGGCCAGGGGAATTTAATTCGGGTCTCCTCCATGAATGACAGAAACCCAAATACTTGAATTATCACCTGTTGCCTTACAGGGGACACCTTAGCAGGACCCTGAAAATGACAAGGGCGCCAAGACCGATACCTAAGCACTCAGATTTGGAATGCAGTATTTCAAATGGTCTCATTCCCTACGCCAAACACCCACCCGCTACTGTGACTTTTCACAATAATAGTCACATTCTCACGTGACATGTCCCTTCTCAATGTCTTCTCTCCCAGGTGTGGCTTCCTTTTCCATTTCTTTGTTTCCTTTCTCTGGAGGACGGGAGTGGGACTTATGACAAAGTTAGTTCAGAGAGGCCCTTTCCGATACTCCCGGAAGACATCTCTTGAAGTTTCCCCAGAGATTTAGCTTTGGAGCCTTGGGCCCACAGAAGAGGCAGAAATGTGCTTGCCAACAAGAAGGTTGGTGATGCATGGAAAAGCAGAACAAGAAGAGTCCTGCAACCTGCCTGGTTAACATGAAGGGAAGTAGGGCAGGATTTAAGGGAAATGACAGCCAGAAAGACAGGTGGTGAAGGCTCCGATCAGCTGGGCAAGAGAGGCTGGGGGAAAGATGGGCCAGGGACACTCCTGCATGGTCTCACCTGCTTTGCTGGTATTTCTGTGTGATAAATCTGCCATTGACTTGTCAAGTTGGAAGGAGCAAAGTAGAGAGGAGTCTGTAGAAGGATGTGGAGCAGTAAGGTTTTGACTATCTTGTCAGAAAAATTGTCCTATGCTCACTTACTCCCAGGAGGAAAAGCTTCCAAAGCTTTTACCTGAATAAACAGACCAGTGCACACCCCTTTGTGTGCTCCGTGGGTGCAACGCTGGCACCATTCATATCAACTGCGTGCATCTCTCCAGCTGCTGGCCAGGAATGATCATGGGTGTCGTTCCTGTGAAAAGCTGGGTCGTTATTAAATACGCTCCAAATCTGTTAAGGATTTTGCACATCTGTAGAGTTTGATTGGTCATGTGTAAGGTTGTTCTGAGCTCTGTCATCACAACTTCTCAAGGTTCCTATATCAGTAGTGCCATATACAAAAAGTAATGTAAATGTTTAGTCATTAGGGATCCTTGCTGACCTATAGAGATCTAATTATACCTTCTGACTAGTTGGAAAATAATCATTAAATTTCCCCCATGAAAAGATAAATCCATTTGAGGAAAATGTGTCAGGAATTTTTAATGCCATGATGAGGAACTGGCATATGGAGACGTTTTTAAGCACAGTTAGAGGGAAGTCTCCTTGTCCATTTAATTCTACAATCAAAATAGTTAATTTTCCACAACTGTAAATAGGTTTCCTCTTTATTTCCTCAAGTGACCAAATGAGTTAATTGATCCGTGCTGTAAAATCTCAGGTCATTCTTGCATATGATAATGGGATAAACTGCTTTGTTTTCATTTATTCCTCATTAGTGTAGTTATTGCAATGTTGAAACGGGGGTGGTAAAAATCAATAAACACCACCCGAACACACAGATACTCACACATACACAATTTTAATGAATTCCTCTCTGCTTTGCTTGTTGTGTTTTAACTCAGATGAGATGTTGCTTTTGGTTTTGGTTAAAACCATAGTTTATCCAAGGGGAGCCTGAGGTCTTTCTCTCAGAACTACTTCCCAGAAGAGGGAGTTTGACTCACAGGTTCTCCCTTGTAACCTGCCAGTGACTCATTGGCTGTCTTTGGCTGCAGCTCAGAAAACCTGTCTCTGTTTCTCCACCTGGGAAGTGGTGCTCACGCCTACCTGATGTGGAAATCTAGGAGACGATTCATTGGCTGCTCTTGGTAGACTTCTGTGACACCTGGAGATGAAGAGGATTATCTGTTTGTATATAAGTAGTATGCCTCGTAAAAGGTTCAGTTTCATAAAGTGCTTGTAGATGAAAGCCTGTCAACAGGTTTTCTGAAATTGGACCTCGCTCTTTTTGCCCAGGGAGTCTTCTTAGCGTCTCAGAGTCTAGAGGTGGAAATTTATGAAGGTTTTAGCAATAGACCTATTAAAAGCCCTTTTTTTCCTTGCTGTAACCGATGCCAGTCATAAGCATTGTAAGGCTTTTTGCAAGGTTTCTAAAGAGGCACAGCATCTGTATTCCATAGACAGTGAATATTGTGTGTAGTTCAAGAAATTAGATGCAGTACAACTTCCTTTTAGGTAGTTCTTGCCAACAGTTTATGAAAAATGTAACTGAGAAACTTTGTGAAGAATCAAACATCATACTGTGTATTTTGGTTTTACAATGAGTGGGATGATCTCATTTCCATCCAAAATATGTGACATTTGTTAACATTGATGAGTCTCACAGTTAAAATTTGTAATTTATATATATATATATATATAGGTATGTTTCATGTGCAGTATGTTTGGTTATTACCCTGTATATTTTACCTTGTCTTGATCTATTTCTCAAACTTTTGGGAAACTACTATCTACCTATTTGTGCTCTATTGCTTCATTGCTTCTGCTTACTTGACTTCCCAGCTAGAGCTATGTGAACACTGGGCCGCCCCTGGAGGCTGCATGGTGGGAGGTGTGCAACCAATGAATAAGTAAGCATTTTGTAGGAATGCTGTGGGGAAAATCCAAGCACCAGACAAATGGGAGGTTAGGCTAGACTCTCTCTCAGTCTCATCTAACCCTCAGATTCTGTAATTTGTTTATAAGCTCCTCTGGCCTGTTTAACTTGCTCTGCATGAATCCACATGTGTGTAGGTGTGCTTAATGAGTATTGGTTGTCATGAGGTTTCCCAGCACTCTCACCATGATGTCAGGCTCAATCAGGGAGACAAAATCACTGAGTTGGACAGTCTTTGAAGAACAGGCAGAGAGGACGGCAACAGGACACCCACTCATGCTGCTCGAGACTGCATTGTGCCTTCCGAGCCAAGGGTATTCAGGAGGCCACCGATGCTCAGAACTGCTACAAGAATCAATGGAGACTACTGGAATGGTGGTAGTTGAAACAAAAGTCCAACTTTAAGTTCGGAAGTGCTCATTTGCTGCTCATCGTTTTACACTAGCTGTCCTTGTATTTAATGGTGACCCACTTGATATCTCTTGGCTCAAACTACATCCACATATTCAAAATAAGACAAGATGAAATGATGAATGCTGAAAGTATCTAAAGATTCATGAATCCATTAAACAGATTGGGAACAGGGCCTATGCTTGCTCATACGGTAAACACTAAGGTTATTCCCAAGGTCCTCGCCAGTGTCAACATGCTTTATTACTAACGTAAGTGATAGAAAGGGGAAAGAAAAGATAGTGGCAAAACAGATTTCTTGATTGGAGTGATACATAAATGTCATGGAAATAATACAGAGCACAGTTGCAGTCCTGTAGCATATTCTCTCAGAAATGCACATGCACGCTCGCATACACGTACCCCCCCCCCACACACACACTCACACTCATTCTCCAGATGCCAACTTCTCCAGCAGATCTAACAACTGGTCAAAGCTAATGTACATCGGACCAAATTGTCATTGATTGTCTCCTGAGGTCACAGTAGCTCATATTCAACGAAAATGAAAATACTATCAATGCGGGCTGCTATGAAACTCTGATGTTTAGTGAAAGTGAGAGATCTAAGTGGAAAATCCACGGAGGTACGGTTCAGCAGCAGTCTGTGATGATCTCATTTAACTACAGGGAGAAGAGAGTGTTAGAGTTCCAGTCATCCAATGGTCATGTCGTCTCTTCACCTAACAGTTATGAAGAAACTGCTGATATAAAGAGGGACTGTGTGAGGACAGAGTCTATTGTGTTGGTGACATACGACACATAGGATAGCAATATGGTGATGAACCTTGTAAATCATCGAAATAATGTAAGCTATTTACAGGAGGTCCTGCAGCTTGTGTCGAAAGAATTTCAAGATTTAGGCAAAAGGTTCCACGAGCTTGTCTGTACTTGTCTTTCTTCACTTACGTTGATTAACCTAAGTAATGTTCAACTCATTTCTTGTCTTATAAGTACAGATCTTTGTAGGTATTTTGAAATTATACTTTCAGGTTGAAAATGGTGAGAACACCTTAGGGGGTCTTTAATCTCAAGATTATCAGTTTAGCTGAGCATAATTAAAAGGTTGCCTTCTCTGTTTACTGCTGAATAATGAAGAGAAACAATAGTGTAGCTTTTGAATGTTTGCTAAACCAAATTCTCCACAGACAACTTTTAGTCAATGATTATAATATTGTGGTGGTATCTGGAAATTTAAGAGGTCAAGATAGAATACTCTGCTTCTAATTCCAAGCTCCAATCAGAGTAGCTCAGCATATTGCAAGCCAAATCTTTTGTTTCTCTGATTCAAAATATTGCATTTGATTGTTTTTATACATGTCTTTCAACTTCTTGTTGGTACTCCTTGTCATTTCATGGAAGGGTTTGTGGCTTCATAAGGAGAACTAATTGGATGCTAACATAGAAACATATTAAATAAAGCAAAGTGTAAACACTGTTTCTCTCTACATCAGAGTTTTAACTTTTAATATCCCAATTTAATTCTGACTTCATAGAGCAAGATTATAGCTCTCCAAGCAACCTGATTAAATAAAAGAAATAAGTACATTTCCTGCATACTTCAATGTCCAAAAGCCAAGACCAGTCTAATTTAAACTCATTGAGCGTAAGTTGAAGACCCATGTGGCTTGTCAAGTATTCTGCTTAGTGGCTTGGATGATAGCAGGAATAAATGTCTGGCTCAAGTCATCCAGGAGTTCTCGATCGTATGTTGTAGCTGCCTAATTAAACGGCTTCCGAAAGAACTCATTTTAAAAGGATTCATCTTCTTCCAGTTTCAAACTGCTCCGTTTAGATTTGATCTGCACATAAAACCCTGCTAGCTGGCAACACAACCGTTGCTTACTTTAGTTTGTAATTTATCATCCCCTGTGCTTATTCAGTGAATTTTCATGCAGTTCTGAATCTAAGCTTCTTGTGTATAGGAATATGTTTATTATCTTTACATTTTCCTAGCATAACACTACAGTTAAAATTTATCAACCTGTCTCCTGTGATGCAAGATGAGACGTTGTGTTGGGTTTCAGTCTAATACTGTTCAATGCAAAGAAATTTCTTAAGTCAATCATTGTCAGAACGGCAACGAAAAAAAACATTGCTTGGTAAATTAACATTCTTATATTGCTGCTTTAGCCCATTGTTAACAAGAAATATAATTCCCTTGTTCTTCATGGTTCATATGAATTTTAAAAATTAATTCAATTCTATCCATTATTTGATATATTATGTAAATCATGCATGTTATATTAGAAAAAGAAATACAGTGGAATTATTATGAACCGGAATATGTGGCCTTCAGCCTCAGACATTTTGTAAAATAAGTCACAAAATAGATATGACATGAACCAAATATATTGTTGCTGAGAATTTAAAGGGGAAAATGTTGGAGTCTAAAAATGATGACATTAGTTTATTCTAGTTGGGGGCACATGAAGCCCTGGCAGGAACCTGTGTACTGGGAGCACAGTAATTTTCAACAAGACTGACCTGTGCAGCGTGTGCCCGGTGGACTCCTCACAGAGGGTTCCCTGTGCGAAGTGCTCAGACGGGATCGACTCATGGCCTACGGTTCTTACTTGAAGGACTGATCAGTATGATTTCTACATAAGCTAGTTCAAGTTTGTGGCCATGTACGCAAAGAAAAACTTGGACAGAGACGAGAGGAAAACATCAGAAGTGTTGGAGAACCGAGTGTTTATGAGAAAATAGAGACGGCTGTGAGATGTAAGAGTCTCCATATCTCAAGGGCTTCCATAGGAAGAGTGTTTTCCTTTTTTTTTTTTTTTTGAAGAGTGTTTTCTAATTGCATATGAGTCCATATGGAGAGTAAAAGTAATGTTACCCCTTGCTTAAAACCTGTGTGACATCTGATTACACTTACATAGAATCCCCTGTCACTTAGACTAGCTTCTATGATACATGTGTTCTGCCAACTTGCTAAATCTTGTTTCCATTCTGCTTTCTTACCATCCTTCAGGGGGAAAACAAACTCTTCCACTTTCCCAGGATTTAAGGACTATCTTAGGATGTCATACTTTCCATTTTCAAGTTAAGACAGTCTTGGGCAAAGTAGGACAATAGTCACCATAACCTCCAGACACAAGAATCATCTCTGTTACTTTCAGCTATTCCTCTTTCAGCATTCCTTAGCCCAAATTGCTCCCCTTATTTGAGTCCAATCTTAGGACTGAATCTGGACTGTGTCGTGTATAGGAGCTTACTATATCATTTTAAAATTTCCTTCTAGGCCATACTTGTCTTTGTAAAGATCATCAGTGAATTAGAAGGAAGGACACACCTTAACCATGGCATCCTTGGTACTTTCCCCCTCATCCCAGAGTATGATTTGTGATTCCAAGAAAAATGTTTTGTAATAATCTTGTAAGCAACTTTGTTTCTTAATATACATGTAGTGCAAGCGGCATGTGTTTTGATCCAGCAATTCTTTTACCACCCTTGAATTCCAAGATAAGTGTGTGAGATATGCACAGTACCTACAATTGACATGGAGAGTTAGAAATGAAAGGAGAGGTGGCAAGTTCCATTTGTTTTACTCAAACAAAACCAAAATGCAAGCTATATGTCAAATACTGTAAAATTAACTTGGATATTTCTTAGAGGTTGCTATGGCTTAACACATTGTATGGTAATAGAAAGAATAGAAATCTTGAAATGAAATTTTAATATTTTTAGACATATTTAATTATAGTTATTATGATTGTTAGTATACCTTCTAAGCCTTGAAAATATTAAGACTGATTAAGTTATTAACTCTGAATTAACTGTGGAAATCAAAACCTTACTAATCTCTCACTTTGCATGGACTTAGAGGATGGCAATTTCTAGGTCCTGGGTAAGAGTTACAATTATGTACATTGTACGTAACAGAAGTATGGTTTAACAGAAAAATATGTGGCTTCCCCAATACAAAATAGTTTGTTAAAATACAAATAGTATAGAAATATATAAGCAAAGATGCTTTTACATATTAATACTATTAATGTAATGAGAGTGATCTTTTAAATTTATTTTATTTGAAAGTTAGAAAGTGAGGGTAAGAGGATCTTTTATTGTAAGCACCTTTTATTTCTTTAGCTTTTCCTTTTATTTTTTATGACACAGTAGCTCTCCTTCCGCATGTCCCCAAACAATGATCTCCACTATATTATTACAGTAGCATTGTCCTTCAGCATCATACCAAACCATCATTCTGCTAATTTTCCATCCACTGGTTCACGCCCAAATGACTGTGACATCTGAAGCCAGACAGGTGTGAAGACAAGAGACAGGAACTTCTTTCTGCTCTCCCATGTGGTTGCACTGGTAAAATCACTTGCACTATCATTGTTTTCCCAGACACATTAACAGAGAGCTGGATTGGAAGTGGAGAAACAGGAATTGAAGCTGGTGCCGATATGGGATGGCAGTACCTCAGGTAGTGCCCACAAAACTACACTGATGGCTCTCAGAGAGGTTTTATTTTTTAATTAAAAAAAAGAAAGACTTTTTTTTCAAAATATCTTATTTATTTTTATTGGAAAGGCAGATTTACACACAGAAGGAGAGACAGAGAGAAAGATCTTCTGTTCACTGGTTTACTCCTCAAGTCACCGCAACAGCTAGAGCTGAGCTGATCCGAAGCCAGGAGCCAAAAGCCTTTTCCAGGTCTCCCATGCAGAAGCAGGATCCCAAGGTTCTGGGCCAACTTCCATTGCTTTCCCAGGCCACAGGCAGGGTGTTGGAGGGGAAGTGGAGCAGCAGGGACACAAACTGGCACTCCTGTGGGTTCCTGGCACATGCAAGGCGAGGACTTTAGCCACTAGGCTATCATGCTGGACCCAAACAGAAATTCTTCTATAATTGAATCAGAATCATTTAACTAGTACAGGTTAAGCTCGTTTTTTAATGTCTGTGGCCATTTGCCACGATAGTGATGCCACAATTTAACTGCCTAAGAAATATATTAGCATGATGTCTCAAAACGGACCCTTTGTGTTTGATCATGAATTCAGACACCAACAATAGTAACAGGAAATTTAAGAATTAGTGGAATTCAGAGAAAGGTTATTTTTATTGTTGTGTGATATTTCCAGCACTGAAATTTAAACAGTTTTAAACATTAATTGTACTTGTGAGTATGAATGAAACACACTACTTTGTTCCTGTGTAATTTTCAGAATATGGCTTTCCTTTTTCCTTCTGCCAGTGACTTACGATATAAATGTTGCTCATCCAGTCATCACTATATGAAAAATTAAATTGTCCTCCATATTCATCCAGTTTTCTGAGGTTTGATGATTAGCAGTAATGACTAAGTACCAAAGATGCATTGTGAATCATCTTAATTATAAATGGTTAATAGCCGGACGAATGTGTATGTTTGTTGTTTCAGAATTTAAATATCCACTAGTCAGGATTAAGTTCATATTTCTTCAGTTAAAGCTACTCTATTTTGTTCCTAATTACCTTCTCAGTTGACTTTGAATTTAATGTTGGAAACACTAAATGTTATAGTTGGAGACTCTCATTCATTACCCAGCCCAGGTGTTTGCTTTTCTTTAGAAGATCTTGCGTCGGTTGCCAACAGAAAGATCACTAGGGTCGGGGCCTCTTGAGTACTAGAAACAGAGTTAGATTTTTTCCTTATTTTTATTTCCTGACATAAGACTTGTAGAGGAATTTGCGCTGGCATTGACATGAGGATTTAACCCGTGAAAGTTAATGGATGAGAATGCTTATTACCTTGGCAAAGAAAAAGATGCCATTTTCTTTCTTCTATGAAAAATGAAGAGTGGGGCCTGGCGGAGTGGCCTAGTGGCTAAGGACCTCGCCTTGAATGCACCGGGATCCCATATGGTTGCCGGTTCTAATCCCGGCAGCTCCACTTCCTCTCTATCTCTCCTCCTCTCTGTATATCTTTGTAATAAAAATAAAATAAATCTTAAAAAAATGAAGAGTGATTGATCCTCAACCACTCTTCTGTTATTGGTATAAAAATGTTTTGACATGTTCTAAAATGTTTTTTGCCAGGCACTTTGCAAGCAACCCGTGCCTTGATGGTGATTGGCATCCTGTTGGGACTGATAGCAATCCTTGTGGCCACTGTTGGAATGAAGTTTATGAAGTGCATGGAAGATGATGAAGTGCAGAAGATGCGGATGGCTGTCATTGGGGGTGTCATATTTCTTATTTCAGGTAAGAGAGGCCCACCTCCGATTTCACTTTACCGAGCTGCCTGTGGTATGGTTTTAAATTAAATTTTTCATTTATCTTAGACAATTGTGACTTCTTTGCAGTTGAATTTATTTCAATCCCATTTGAAATTTAAGTTCAACTTTTTGGGGCTCAAAGCAGAAATCCATGAAAACTGAGATCTGAGCTGATAGCAGCAAGATTTGTTTGTTGAAGTCTCAAGTGCACAGTGGTTTGTTAAAATCACCCTCACCAGATGGAGATGCTTACTGATTAACGAACAATTACTATGAGAAGATGGGGCATAATAAGAGAAAAAATAAGAATTTCTAAATTACACAGGTCCATAAGTGATATATGGGACTGAAATTGCTGAAGAAAATTAGTGCAATATTCCATTGATGGAACCAATTTCAGAATAAATAGGATGTGCCAATGGAGTACTGAAGAAATGCCTAGTAGGGGTGGCGGGGGGGGAGATAGAATATTGATATGGTAGGAAGTCAGGATTATTGAGCTGGAAAAGAAAACAATATTGAAATACACTGAGAAAACAGCAAGGTTGTATTCCTCATAGAAAATAAATGTGTATTTGTTGCTTTATTTCAAAGTTGATCAGATCTATTATGTGTCCTTTGAGAAAATAAGGAGCAGATATGAACAATACAATTTCAAAAGTCTATAATATGACATATTTCAAATATAAATTGTGAGGTAATCTCAAAATATTAGTGGAAATGAAGTTATATACATATTTACCATCAACATTTGAATATCCTCTTACCTATATATATGGTATATAGAATATAGGCTTAATAATAGATTACTCCTCTATTAAGAGTTATATGCATAATATATATTAGATTTAATATACAAAATAGTCTATTGATTTGAAAATGATATCAATTTACTACTAGGAAAAAGCTACAATTAGGCTTTCTATGTATTTATATATTGTTTTAAAAGATGAATTGTGGATTCATTTACTGTAAGGTTATACAAGAATCTAATCATGGAAGTCAATGTAGGAAGAGATATGGTTAAATTGGTAGAGATATGGTTAAATTGGTCAGTTGTTCAACTTATCCAAACATAAATTAGCTTCTATCTGAAAATCATGAATAACATTTTTCCTGCAGTATGATTTTGCATGGAAGGCTATGAATAAACCTACTGCATTGAAACCTTTGCCTTTTTGTAGCTCTAATCAATGTTTGTGTCACTTCTACACCATTCTCAGGAACTTCTTGGGAATAGGAGTCACAGATTTGGAATCACTCATGTGGTCTATTTCAATAGCCCAAAGCACTATTTTCTGTCATATACAGGCAGTTACACTGGATCACTTTTTTGAAGAAAAGAGGGATTAGTAGAAAAGCATTAAACCTAGGTGCATTGTTGAGTTCTTGGAAATACTATAAAATGAATTGTTTCATATTTCAGTTTCTGCTTTAAAATAACAAAATTGTATACACTTACTGTGTCCAGCATGTTGTGAACTATACACAAAGAGAGAGAGAATGAAAAAGTAAAACTAGCTGTGCATTATCTCAGATATTCTTTCTGTGATGAAAACACTGCATTAATTCACTTGCATAATTCAGGAATAAATTAACTGTAGTTTCCTTACTGAGCAATATATATCATTAATGTATTTCCTCAAAAGTGAAATTGTGTATGCTTTGACTAGTGTTTTCTTTAGATGAGTGTAACTTGGGAATTATATATTTCTCACAAATTATGGAATGAATTATTAAGTGACTTCTCTTTTTATATGGCATGTAAGATATTGGGAATTGAAACTATTGCATAAATTGATGTGATATGGCATCTTTAGCAAATCTCAAAACAATATCTGTGTCAGATATTGGCTTGTTACATGGGACAATGGGAATGCGTGTGTTTTGTTTCAATCTGACACAAATTCTGTACTCCTTACCAGCTACTTACATTTGATTTTGAACAGGTAGGAGATAAAAGGATTTTCATCTTGCGTTTTACAAGCAACTATATGATAATAAGCAAAATGATTTTATCAAGAAGTATTTTATCAAAATAATATGTAACTGCATTTTGAAAAAGGTTTGCAATGGTCCCGGCACAATGACCCAATTGGCTAATCCTCTCCCTCGAAGTATCGGGAATTGCATATGGGTTCTGGTCTGTGTCCTGGCTGCTCCACTTCCTCTATAACTCCATTCTTGTGGCCTTGGTAAGCAACAGAGAATAGCCCAAAGCCTTGGCACTCTACACCTTCAGGGAAGACCTGGAAAAGGCTCCTGGCTCCTGGTTTTGGATCTGCTCAGCTCTGACCATTCCAGCCACTAGGAGAGTGAACTGGAGGATGGAAGATCTTTCTAGCTCTCCTTCTGTCTATAAACCTTCCTATCCAATAGAAATAAATCTTTGAAAAAAGAAAAAGATCTGGAACAACATAGACCTGCTGAATTTTTTTTTCCCCAGAAAGCACTGTTTGCTCCAGTGATCTTCAATTACAAATGAGTCAGGTGTTGTGACTAGAAGAAATAAGGCTTAACTTTACCTTAGTGTTATGGGATGTCTTAAAAATACTTATGATAAATCATATCTGAATTTCTGATGTCCTTTGTGTTAAAATAAAAACGATAGCACTATTTATATTGTCTTCTCACATGCATGATTAGGTTTAATTAGCCATATACTTGTAATCTGTGTCCTATGGTCATTAATTGTCTTGTTTTGAATCTGTAGGTCTGGCTACTTTGGTTGCCACAGCATGGTATGGCCATAGAATTGTTCAAGAATTCTATGACCCTATGACCCCTGTCAATTCCAGGTAATGTTTTTCAAGCATCAGAGTTTATACTCTGAGAAAATACTCTATTTATGTCCTGCACATTCCTGCTGGGACCACAGTTTCTGAGAGTTATTTAAATGAATTTGATGTCAACTTTGCAATTTACTTAAATGACTTATGACTTGTGTTAAAAATGAACTCAATAATTACTTTAACAATCTTTATTGACAACATGTCCTTCAGAGTTCAATAGCCACAGGCTTTATACTTACCCATTCTCTACTGAAAAATCATTTGTTTTTTTTCTCCAAATATGAGTAAAGATACTTTTATATTGAAATTCCATTTTTAAAATGTATTCTGCCATTTATAACATTTGTAACTAATGAAGTTAGTAACTAATTGAAGAAAACAGTGTCCAACCATAGGAATTGATTAATAATGTTTTATTTCTAGCCAATTTCTACATATATGGCATTGAAGTGCCTTTTAAGTATATTAAGAAAATATTTTGAAATTTTACATTACACTACAACTAGAAAATTGGTTTTACAAAGGTCATCTTTCTAAACATAACGAGTTTTGCAAGTTACAGATCTGATTCTTGGTTCTCAAGTAACTACACTCTGCTCAGTGACAAAGCTCTTCATCTCAGCATCTTCACATCTTTAAGGCCTAATAACTATATTCAGAGTCAATCTGTGAGATTTAATTATTGTTTGTATGTGTTAGGATGAATAAATGAAACATCTCTCAGTGTTTAGAGAGATAAGGTGTGCTTCTTTTCATACGCCTACCTGTGGAACACATACTGCAATGATTGTGTTGGAGCTTATCCCATAAGATTTATGATGTAGTGACAGAAGCTGCTGGAGGTCAATAGGCTAAAATTTTACCAGACCAATAATTCCAGTAATGCACATGAAAGCACTTTATAAATTGCTAGGCACTGTGAACTTGCCATTTGCGTGATCTCAAATGATGGCCAAAGCAGTCAGGTAGGAGGAGTTATCCTGCCTAAATAGAATAAAATGGAGGCTCAAAGGCAAAGCCACCATCACCATTTTGCAGCAGCTGAGAGTTGCCATTGGAATTCAAGCCAGGATCTTATAACCTCCAGATCCAGCTGGTTGTAACTCTCTGCTCACAATCAATAAATGATTCAGCATCCCAGGAGTCTGATTTAATGCATCCACATGCATCGACTTAAACCAGGATTGCCGATGGGCTGCTTAGAAGCAATTTTACAAAACCATGAATTTTATATTTTAGTTAATGAAAGTGTCTGAAATCACTTACTAAGTCTCTGATAGCTTCTATCATGCTCTAGCAGTTTCATGGTATCATATGACTGCTTTTAATTGATTACATAACTTGTCAGTCCAGAGCCTGGGAACTATTGTCCAAAATCCACTTCTGATAGCAGCATGCTTTACATGTCTTCTATACATGCAGAAGTCTGCAAATATTTTTGTACTGTCCTGATGTTACCTGATGTGTTTTTATAAATTGTCCATACTTGCAAAGTAAACATTCTTGTGGTTGGAATGTGTTCACAAACTTTAAAGCAATTTGCAAAGGGCTATGAGAATTTATTTTCAGTGGAACAATGAGTTTGATATCAATACTAGAAAAATTGGCAGTAATTTATTGACTGACAATACATTGTCTTTTTTGTTTGTTGTAGGTATGAATTTGGTCAGGCTCTCTTCACTGGCTGGGCTGCTGCTTCTCTCTGCCTTCTGGGAGGTGCCCTACTTTGCTGCTCTTGTCCACGAAAAACCACCTCCTACCCCACACCACGGCCTTATCCGAAGCCCACACCTTCTAGCGGGAAAGACTACGTGTGATAGAAGTAAAAGGAGAACAGTTTGTTGGAACAAACAAAATGGACATTGAAACACCATTCATGTTGAAATAAGCAAAATGGACATTGAAACACCATTCACTGATTTTAAGTTCTTAGACTTTTGACTACTAAAATCTGAACTGTGGTGTTACGAAAGATATTTTTAACATTATCCATTATTAGAAATGTTTTAATCATATTTTATCTTTTTTTCTACAGTACAAGAAGGATATTCTTCCCTTTGTATTACTGCTTGTCACTGAGTCACCAAATTAAATGAGGAATACTCTTCAAATATATAGATATGTATATATACATGTTTTCTAAAAAAAAAAAACAAAAAAAATGACAGTAAAAAGCTGTTATTATGTTGGCATCAGCATATTAAAAATATGTAAACAAAAATACATAAGAATGCTGTTGCTATACTTCCCTATATACATATATAAGTCAAATAGGATTTACTCTTCTTCATCAGCTTTTAGTGTACTTACTATAAGACCTTCCCTCCTTTGCCAAGTATGACCCTTTGAGTTCTTAATGCGTGCCCTTTCATATACTTATTTTTTATCACTGTCTTGCAATACTTACTTTTTCATCAAGCCCTTATTTGCATTTATTGTGTCGATCTCTAACTCATGAATCTGACCACGTATTACATGTTAGTGCCTAAAGTCAGTAAGAATATCTTTTATAATAGCACGTTATGGAAAAGTGTTTCTGCATAACAAAGATAACACATTCCTGCTGCCCTTCCCACACAAACTCTGTCCTCTGATCCATAGTACACTTGCCTGTTTTGGAAATATTTGACCCTTTGGATAGCTTTGTGCTACTCACCCAGGTGTTGTAACAATTTTATTGATTAAATTTTAAGCTGTTTGCTCATGGTTATATATCCCACACACTATACTGTTCTTTGTCCCTTCTTGACAGTCGTGTTTTCCATAAGTAATTATTATACAGCTCAACACTTCTCAGAGAGGTGTGGTCTGTTTATCTGAACCAAGTGCTAGAATTTCTGTAGCGATAATTTGATGACAGATATTCTCTCTGTAGTTATGAGCAAGTCATATGGTCTATTTTCCCATCTGTCAAATTGAGATAATAATACTTAACCACCTGATAGAAATAATGTGTTAATTAGTGGGTTATCTTTTCATTCCTTGAACATGAAATATGCCTAAGAAGTATTTTTATTTGGTCAATTGGTTATTTAGAAGTCACTAAGCAAAATCAAACACATACCTTCACATCATTCAGCATTTTTCCTTTTCCAAGTCAGTTTTCTTTCTTTCATCTGTACCAGATGCATTGTTGGTGCTCTATTCAATTTTAACAGCTTCTTTTAATTTTCTCATCTGTTTTTGTATGGAACTACACTTATGCAAGATGATGCAATGGAAAAGGTGTTAGCTTGCGTGTCTGGAGATTGGATTTGAATCTCAGTGCTATCAATTACTGTCCGAGTTTGGGCAAGACATTTGCCTGCCCTAGATTTATTGCTTCATCTGTAAAAAGGAATTTGTAATTATTGACCTGCCTACCTCACAGCATTATGGTAGGGTTCCTGTGAAATAGTATCCATGTAAATTTGGTTTTACAAGGTGAAAAGAGCTATGCTGGGGGGTAAAAAGAGAAGGAATTGAAGTACAATAGTTGTGAAGTTATCTTCCAAATGTCTGAAGAGAGGAATGTTTGTAAATGGGTTTCTTGTCTTAACCAGTCTTTGAAAGTTGGGAAGCTTTAAAGTGAACTCAGTTCACTAAAAATGAAAAGAATTCTAAGAAAGTTCTGGTATCTTCAGTTAGTATGAGCTAATGCTTTCTGTAGTAAAGTAGATACAGTGGAGAAGCAAAAACCTGACCATTGACAAAGCCAACGTTATTTGAGTGTTTTGTAAGATAACTTGTAAGGAAACATAATATGGTAACTGTTAATTAGTGCCTTTGGAGTTTAGACTATTTGCAGATACTACTGCTAGTTGGTTGGTTAAGAAATTGTATTTTATGATAAAGGCATATGGGAACAATATCTAATGGACTATTTCTCATGAAGACTCAGACCTAGCAAATTTGAATATAGTTTCCAAACTTGAAAAACTATGCTTTTAGGAGTTAAAAGAGTCTTTGCTACATGCGTAGGTTATAATGAATGTGAGTGTAAATACATGTGGATAAACATTGCTAAACTCTACAGAGAACTCTAAAGTCCAAAATGACACAACAGAATTGCTACACCAGAATTCATCTAAGTTTCACACTTTTTCTACCCTGCTCCCATACCTGGAAACAGAACAATAGATATTTGGGGGTTTTGTATTTGTATAAAACTGTACTCTTTTTTCAATAAAATGCTGTTTTTTAATTAAAAAATGTAAAAAACCATTGACTTAATTCTAATGATCTGTATCGCAATTGCAAAGCTTAGAAGAGGAGGAGGCTTGGGATAAGAAACTGTGTGTTCCAGTGAAAGAAATAAGGTTCCTTTGGGCCATCCACAAAATACTTGAATGACTCCACCCACCCACCAATGTCCCATTTCAAACAGTTCCTTACTTATCAGGTTGTGATTAAAGAGTATGCCAGGAGATGTTGTTCAACTTTTCTCATCCGTGAAAACCAAACGTGTAGCAATGAGTGATTTAACAACAAGATATGAAGATATTTTGTCAGCTTAAAGTGCTGTGCAAGTTACAGTTGTCATAGTCCTTACAAATTTGGGACAATGAAAGACAGTAGACTAAAAATTCATTGTTTTTGCTGTGATGATTTTATAAAAACTACCTCTGAGGAAAGCAAGCGATGACACTTGTTCCTTCATTATCTTAATGTAGCATGATGATACCTGAAATGTGACCTCTTCCTTGGTGGCCTTCAGGTTAATGGCACTTGGATTGTAAAGAAAGAATCACAACTCTATCATCCATCCTGAGGCAGCAGCATGATGATGATGAGACACAAAGATCACTGCCAACCAGTTTGTTGTGACTATTCTTTGTAAGCAGATACATCAGAATCCACACTTTGTTTCTACACAAATCAGATGTATGTGGGTGGGGCCAGTTGCATAAAATATAAGAGTAAATACAATTCCTCAGTACTCCTGACAAGAACTGAAAGATGTGGCTGGTGTTACCGCTCAGGAGAAAAACTTGTTGCCTGAAACAACAGTGTCCCATCTCAAAGCCCTAGCCCAAGACCCCACTGCTGTGCTTCTAACCCAGCTCCCTGCTAGTGCATCTGGGAAGAAAGCAGATGGTCCAAAGTCTTGCTCCTCTGCTGTCCATATGGGAGACCCAGATGGAGCTCCTGGCTCCTGCTGTTGGTTTGGTCCAAATGTGGTCATTATGGTTATTTGAGGAATCAACGAATAGATGAAACACTTTTTCTTATACGTGAATAAATACTTTTAAAAGAAGAAAGAAAAGCTGGGTTGTAAATCATATCAAGTAGACATCCTTCTTTGTGGAAGTTCGCCTCACTTGAACTATGTGTGCGCAACTCCAGGAAAACTCCACTGAACTCCCCAAGTAATCACATTTACTAATCCTGGCTGATCTAATTGAGCACTTGTCCTTTTTCGTTCGTGAATCAGATGTAATATATCTGTATTCCCTTTGTCTTCACACTGCACATATCCTATTTAACCACAAACTGTCCTAAAATTTCTTGTTCATGTAGTTAATGCAATGGAAAGTTAATAGACACCTTTTCAGGTTCTAGGATAATACGCAGACAGCAATATCTTGTAGAGCCCTAAAAATATCAACCAGACTAATTCAATGTTAAACCTCTCCAAAACTTTTTTTTTTAAATAATACTATTATTTTCTACTAAACAGTTTTGTGAGTATGGGGATTTCTCTCTCTCTCTCCCCTTCCTTGTTGTCCCCTCCCATCATTTTCTCCTCCATAAAATCACAGTAGCATATTGCAGCTCAGTAAGAGTTACAAGTTTAGGTCCGGCTGCATAGCCTAGCAGCTAAAGTCCTCACCTTGAATGCACCGGGATCCCCTATGGGCACCAGTTCTAATCCCGGCAGCTCCACTTCCTGTCCAGCTCCCTGCTTGTGGCCTGGGAAAGCAGTCGAGGATGGCCCAAAGCTTTGGGACCCTGCACCCCGTGTGGGATACCCGGAAGAGGCTCCAGGTTCCTGGCTTCGGATCAGCACAGCACCAGCTGTTGCGCTCACTTGGGGAGTGAATCATCGGACGGAAGATCTTCCTCTCTGTCTCTCCTCTCTGTATATCTGACTTTGTAATAAAAAAATAAATAAATCTTAAAAAAAAAGAGTTACAAGTTCAACTTTCTGCTATTTAAATGTATCATGATATGGTAGGCACAGGAAAAGGTGGAAAACCTAGTGTCTTATCATAAAGGTATATTTAAATAATTCCTTGAGCCCTATACATATAAAACAGTACCATGGTAAATAATAAATATACTTGAATAATTTTAAAAAACTAAAATAAATAGTATTTCCACCCAGGGAAAAAAATAAGTAATTGTTTTCTCTCCATGATGAAAAAAATTTTTCCTTGTGAGTCCTGATTTTATTATGAACAAGAGATATATATATCGTAAAGTGACCTTACCTCCCAGGAGCAAAATTGCTTAGTACCAGAACTAGTATACAAGTAGTAGACTATATAACTAGTATATAACTAGTCTGTGTTGTATATTTCATTTATAAAATATATGTTTATGTTTATTTACATACGTCTTTATTTTATACTTTTCATGAAGACTGTCTTCTATCAGACAGAATGTATGATATTTGTCCTGTTTGAATGGACTTACTTCATTCTGCATAAAAGATTGCAACAATTTTGCTGCAAACGGTAAGGTTTCATTATTGTACGGCTAGCGTTCTGTGGAGTAGATGTATCACAGGTGCTTTATCCATTTATCCATTGACAGGCAGCTGGGTTGTTCCGATGTTTTCACTACTGTGACTTGTGCTGCTGTGAACACAGGGTTGCAGCTTGCTCTCTCTCATGCAGATTTCACTTCCCTGTGGGAAGTTAACTGGGACATACAGTGAATCAACTTTCAATCGTCTTGGCACTCTTTATACTGTCTTCCCTAGTGGCTGTACTAGTCTGTAATCCCACCAACCGTGGCTTTGGATCGGCATAGCACTGGCCGTTGTGCTCACTTGGGGAGTGAATCATCGGACGGAAGATTTTTCCTCTCTGTCTCTCCTCTCTGTATATCCGCCTTTCCAATAAAAATAAAATAAATCTTAAAAAAAAATATGCAGACTCTGTTTCCTGTTACATGGACTTCAATTACTGAAAAAAAAAAATCTCATTAATGAAATGATTCGAATGTAAAGAGGCTTTCCACTCAGACAGTAAACAATAACAGAAATCAGTCTCATGATAAATAAACAATAATAATCGAAATAATAACTGAATTCATGAGGGAAGACAGACAATGACATTAAAAGGCATAATGATGGGTTTGATTTACACTATAAGGAAATCTTTCTGGTCTACAGCCATGCCGTCCTGAATGTGACTGATCTCCTCTGGTCTCGGAAGCTAAGCAGGGTCGGGCCTGGTTAGTACTTGGATGGGAGAAAATCTTTGTGAAAGTCTGGAGACTCTTCTTAGTATTGTTATTATCTCTATTATTTGAGCAAGTTTAAACAAAACTCTATGGCATCTGGGTATGAAACCTTCACCACAGAACTTCAGGAAGCACTTTTGTTGAGAAAAGACTCCAACATCAGCCCTGAACGCCTCCGCCATTGTGGACTCGGCACTCTTTTAGATGTCTGCTTGCTCTTTCCCACTACTGGCAAATTTCGCGTCTTTCTTGTTGCCCGTCCAAGGCGGCCCCTCCTCCCAGCCTCACCCACCTATCAACCCCTCGTGGCTCCGACAATCCCATCCACCAGTTGCTCACGGCCACCCTCCCTTCTACTTCCACTTCCTTCTTTCTCCTCCTGCACTTGCTGTGACTTCTGCACCTGGCTCTCCATCCTCCTTCTTGCCCCCTTCCCCTGCCCTTGCAGCCCCCTCCAGCCACCAAGGCAGGAGATGTTTCCCTTCTCTCTCTCTTCTCTTTCCCTCGTTCTACCCGCAATACCATCTTTACCGTGCTGAATAAAGAACCTCCCTAGTGCCACACTGCATCTGCTATTTTGGCTTTCATGGAGACAAACATGATGAAAAGAGGAATGAGCTAGGGGGAATTAGCTTCGTGTAAGAACCTATTGTGTGTAAAAGCTAACATTTTTCCATTCCTTGTTAAAATTCTTTAGAAAAAAATGATAGAGCAATTGAAGAGTGAATCTCCTTGAGTCGGTGCTGTGGCATATGTAGGTGATTAAGCAACTGCATGGGCTTATCTGTATTCAAAACTGGGATGTTAATTCCTCCACACCTCAGATTTAGTTTTCTCATAATCCACTTGGGAGGCAGAGGATAATAGCCAAGATTCTTGCATTCATTCCTGTTACCCACATGGAGACTGGAATGAGATTCCTGACTTCTGGCTTCAGCCTGGCCTGGTCTGGTTGTTGCAGGCACTTGAGGAGTGAGGCAGCAACCGGAAGCTCTCTGTTACTCTCTGTCTCTCTTCTGTTATCCAGCCTTTCAAATACAGAAATCTTTTTAAAATATCTATTTTTAAGATCAAACTCTGACGCTTTCACTCAACATGCAGTCTGTTATCATTTTATGATACAGTTCCATAGGCTCCTGGCATTTCCCTTATCCCCTCCCCAATTCCCTTTCCCCCGACCTAGTTCCTCTATTTCATTACTAAAATATAGTTCTTCATACACAGTCATATGTCCATCATTGCATTTCAATTTTGTCATTTGCATCTGAAATAGTCCTATTTATTAAAGACTATTTTGTTTGACTGGCAGAGTTGGAGAGAGAAAAAAAAATCCTCTGTCTGCTTGTTCACTTCCCAAATAGCTGCAGTGGCCAAGGTCGGGGTGAAAGCAGAAGTCGAGGAGTCCGTCACAGCTTCCCACTTGAATGGTAAGGACTTCCGACCTGAGCCAACTTCCAGTACTTTCCTAGGCACATTACCGAGGAGTTGGACTGGAAGTGGAACAGCCAGGACTACCTGACACATGTATAGGATACCGGTTATGGGACTTAATCCATCGGTTGCAAGGTTGCTCCAACGTAGTCCTTACAAGACAGTCACCAATGCTTTCCTACACATCAGCAGAAGATTGGATAAGAAAGCTTTGGTTCATCTACTCCATGGAATACTACTCAGCTATTAGAAAAAACAAAATGCAGTTCTTTGTGGCTAAATGGGCCCAACTGGAAACTATAATGCTAAGGGAAATGAGCGAATCCCAAAAGGTTAGATACCACACGTTTGCCTTGATTTAACCTGTAA